TTTTTGTCTTCTTTTCTTTTTATTTTAAAAAATTTTTAACAGATATTAGGTAATTTATTGCAAACAAGACGTGATCTTTTTAAATTTCTACTACAAGAAATCGCAAATACAAATTCCGTTGTCGACCACGTCCTAACAATTTACTTGACATCAATTCTTCCCTTTATTAAAATCATCAAACCATTTTTAACAGATCCGTTAAACGACAACCGCAACAAAAAAAGTGTACAAACATAGACATTAGATACAGAAATAAAACTTTGCAGTATAAATAAAATTTGAAAAAAGTTTGCATGAAAGTTGATTTGAAGTTCTCTAACTGTTTTTCAGTATATATCACTCATCAAAACCAACAGCTCGCCGTACGCCTACTGCATCACCGACCCAGCCTCCAGTGTTATCCAAAACTAATAACTCAGTCGGTCACTTAAAGACAACCGTATAATGGTCGATGAACAACGACAATTTTCTGAAGCCAGCACTTTAAGTTACATCACTAAAAAGTCCCAAAAGTCAAAAAAATCTTCCACTTATTTCAAAGGTCATTTTTAACTGAGCAAAAATAAACCCATAGAACAACGCCAAGCAAACAGCAGCAAAAATTTCTCTGCTTCTACCAATTACAGAATCAGTTTCGGGATAAACCACAAAAAAATTAACAAACAAATAAAAAGAAGCAGAAGAAAAAATGAATAAAATATTGTTTTACTGATAGCCACTCCGAATGAGCTCATAACACATCTAAGTACCCGAATAGGCGTCACGATATTTACACAGCTTTAAGAATCATAAAACACTATGGTCCACAATTAAACCTGTTATCAGTTACCTTCGCAAAAAAAAAAAAACCTGATACCGAAAAAAACAATGAGAGGTTTGTTTTACTAGTACAAACTGTTACGAACTGTGAACAGCATAAAATATATGAAATGAGCTCCAACTTATAGGCTAGGCTCCCCTCTGGTCTGTTACCAAATAGTGAACGAACAACCAATGATGACCAATGACTTCAGGCTGTAGCCTGAATGCTCCTTTGCCGCAACATCTCTAACCGAATTCACTTACCTGCTCACCAAGCAGTTTTGCTTCTATTCCATGGACACAACCAAAAATCAATTTTATTAAAAGCCATTAATTTTAAGAATCAGCGCCAAGTCTTCTATTCTAAAGACCCGCACCTACTGTGTCATTAAAAACTAACTAATCATACTCCGTTTAAAAAAAACCTTCGCAATCAGTGCTGCCTAACAACGTAACAGACTGGTAGAACAACAGAAAATGACTTTATCTCTTGTATCAACTAAATATTAAATTTTACATCAAAACCTTCAAAAAAATAACACAGACGAAGAGGTGTAGTGGGTGCAGTTTCGGTAAAGTTTCCTTTCTTTTATTTATTAAGCATAAAAAACCGTTAAAATGAACGTTCCGTATGCCAGTCGTACCAAAAAAGCTAATTTTTTTTCTGCAATTCAATGGTTACTTCAAATTTGAACCAAAAGTGCCCCTTTGTTAACGCGAAAGAAAAAAAGAAAAACGAAACAAAATTACCCGCAAATTTCCTAAGTAAATATATCACATGAAACAAAACGCACTGCATCAATTTCTACACAGTCTTTTAGTATAACAAATAAAACCAAAGATTAATGACTTAAAAAACCTTATTTCAGAAAATTAGACAGGTGGACATGACTATCTGCCAATTTAGAAACAAGAAACAAAATCTATTTAGTACTACTATACAAGCTTCCTGAGCTAGAAACAAGAATCACGAAAAGGCAAGATGAAGAAGACCACAAAAGATGATCTGTAAATAAATGAGCAAAAAGACTTCTTATAAGTAAACTTGAATCCGCATTTGAGGTAGTAAATATATAATGATAAAATTTAATGAAACTCGAAAAGACACATATGAAAGCAATGAAAAGGATAATGAAGCCTGATGCAAATAACTGATTTAGAAGTGTGAATAAACACATCGAACGGCTAAGCTAAACTATGTAATTTTCAAACGGCTGAAAACAACCAAAATACATCCTTGTTTTAAACCACTTCCTACCTTAACAACTCTCAGAAAACTCAAAGCACTTAAAAACCTTAGGAAAAAAACGCATTTACAAAAAAATCTTGTTTTCAGCCTCTGAGCATTATAGTGTGCCTCTTGAACAACTTCAAACAGAAGATCCAATGAGATATACTGAAGAAATAAATTTGAAATCCGTCATGTATAGACGGATTTCTGTTACTGTGACGTGTTAGACCAAAAAATGTTTTAAAAACAAACTCTAAAATAATAACAACTACCCAGAGACGAAAGAATATGGCATAAACCTCTTGAAACAACTACAAGACGGTCATCACACAACCTTCAGTATCGGGATTTGCTGATGACGCAGGAGGGTACTGTTGTGTCCCTCCTGAGCTGCCAGTTGATATAGGCGAATACTGTTGCTCTAGTAACGAATCACTTGTAGGAAGGGCCTGGTACGTGTAATCATTCACTGGTTCGGAGTTCGCCGGTGTAAAAGTCGACTCGCCAATAATATTGGATGGCGTATGAGGCAGAAGCTCTGTGTCCCCATTAGACAAATTTGAAGAAAAAGAACCAGGGATGTTCTGCTGAAGCGTTAAGGGAGGTATACCACTGCCATCTTCCAAAATGAATTCAGAAAGTAAAGAATCCACTTCAGCAAGACCAAAGAACTTCGTCAATGTCATATTTTCAATCAATAACTGCGTAAGTCCTTTCAAAGCTGGTATAAGAAGAAGGATATTTCCATAACGAATCGGAGCTTCTTCTGGAGACTGCTCCAAAATAAATGAATATATTGCTCTTAATACTCGGTTCCGTTCTTCTCTAATAACCTAAAGTAAAAACGATTAAAAAATTCTGCAAATGCCATCATCAAATAAAAGTAATTCTCCTACCCAAGTTGCAGTGCAAACTTTTAACCACTTCCTAATCACAGGCAAAAGCATCGCTGAATATTAAAAAAGAGAGTTTTTTAATAATGTTTATTTCAAGTACTTTAAACATGCATGTTAGAAATTTGTATTCTAATATTCCCAGCAAATTTACGTTCAAAAATATACAAAAAAAAAAAAAAAACCATTTGGCTCTCTGCAGAAAGACCCTTCGCTTCAGGATGGAGAAAAGCCAATGCCTTCAAACAAACAAACTCTTCCTCTCGTATCTGAAGCTGACGCATAGGCCAAACAATCTCGTCCAGAACGCGAGGAGTAATGTTACTTGTCTTGAAAGCTGCGAAAGCTGGAACAAAAAACTACACACTTTTTTAAAAGATTATTGGACCATCTACGCATAAAGTGAAAAATTACTTTACCCATAATACTACTCAAAAATACTATTTTTGAATAATGGTATAAAAAACTGTTAATCCAAAAAATGCATGGGGCCACAGAACATAGCCAACTGCTAATTTACGCGCAAAAATTAATAACGACATAAAGAAAATCAATTACCATTCAGTCCTGAAGCCGTATCTCGACTAACATAAGTGTTGTTGAAAAGGCAAATTCTTGTAGTGTCAGGAGAACGAAAAGCTGGCATCAATATTAAATGTTGAGGAGCATAGTTTTTGAGCAAAATAATTTTGTCGTCCATTGGCAAGTCTGGAAATAACGGCAAGTTTTTTGCCCACTCAACCTAAAATAAAAAATTAAAATAAAAGTAAAAACCTTTTTAGGAATCCAAGTGTCCACGGGAAAATGATTTTCTTCGGTAAAAAACCTAAAAGGCTATTAAATAGTGCTAAATGAAAAATGCAATTATTTCCGAGAACCGTTTTTATAGATATGACTGTTTTAACAAACCATAAACACAAGAGTGGTCCGAGAAATATCGTTCAAATCATCTACAGTGCATGGTCGATAAGGCTGCGAAAACGCTGAAGATGTGCTTCCAATATTTTCACCTGTACCCATACCTTCTAGTGGAACACTCCTAGAGGACGTTATAACAGAGTTTCGATACCGAGCAGAAATTTCACTATTAACGCGAGCTTCCATCTCCATTAACCGGCTTATAACTTCTCGATCAGAGTTGTTGCGTAACATGTCAGTAGAACTCAACTTCTCTTCTCCTTCCGTTCCAGAACCATCTATACCAGAAGGAGTGCTACCAACGCCTGGAGAAGGGGATTCTTTCCACTTTTTAGGAGAACCAATAGAATCTCGTTCAAACTGGATAGCTATAAAACCTTCTTTTAAGACGTATAAGCCTCATAAACTTTAAGTAAACTGCCCAAACTATACTTCTTTAATAAAATGCCTCGTGATTAAGTCTAACTGAACACTAAAACGCTAGTACAGCAATATTAAATGAGGTACTGATAAATCTTAATAATGAACCACGGCTATGCTAACGAGTTTGTAAACCACAGCAAGGAAAAGAATAATATAGATTTCAGAAAAATACCTAATTTCCACAGAAAAACTTTAATCCTGCTATAAAAATGCTGCAGAAACTTGTTCTCAAATAGTACATTTCTTTAAAAACATAAACAAACCTTCACGTTTCATCCCAACAGCTAGACATTTCTGAAATCGGCAATATCTACATGCACATCGAAAATTCTTATCGATTTTGCATCTCTTATTAAAACGACAAGAAAACTTCTGGTTTCTAAGAATAGTTCGACGAAAAAACCCCTGAAAACAACAAACTGCTAAGGGATAATTTAAATATTTTTAAAAATACTACTCTTCTACAGTGATTTGAGCATATCTGCTTCTAACCAATATCATACGAGCCTGTGATTGACGAATCAAAAAAGTAACATAAAATGTGTGTCAGAGTTATTTTTAACTGCTAACATTATACCAACAACTTCTAAGAAATTATGCTAAATAACACTTTTGAAAAACTGCACTCCTCTTTGTTTGATTTTGTCTGCAGACTGACTAGGCAGATTCTAAAATATAGAGAAACTCTAGACATGTCAAAAAAAATAGAAAGTCTTTGGATAAATGTCTTTACACAAAGAAAATACGTATCATCGCATTCTGTTCTGAATATACAATTTATGAAGTGATTTAGTAACCAAATTACGCTGACCGGAATTATAAGCAAAGAAGTCGAGAAACAAACCTTACAACCGTTACAGGAAACAACCCCATAATGTGTTCCAGTTGACTTGTCGCCGCAGACAGCACAGAGTTCGAAAGACTGGTCACCTACTAAATGAAGGAGCCGCTTTGAAACCACAAAACGTCAATCTCCAGAAAAAAACATTTTGTAAAAATCCTACTTCCCCCCTCATCTTGAAATGCGCAGCTGTTTGTCAACGCAGTTTAACAGGAAATTCTTAACAATTAAACTGGGACTAAATGAAACTTTTAATCATACCAAAAGCAAAACCAGTCTTAATATTACAAAGGATGAACGAAAAAAGCTAGTAGTATTCCTTGGGAAGAGAATTCAATTGAATTTAGCAACAAAGATGAGAAGCATAAAACGAAATAACATATTAGGAAGACCAAAAAAAAGGTTAGTTACACAATCGCACAAAATGTTTTACTTCGCAAAGACTAAAAGCTGCAATGCTCTAGTGAAGTGTTGAGAGCTGAAGTAATATTCTTAACATATTTATAAATCTTTAAATTCACTATTACAAAATACCGAAAAGTAGCAGTCTTACGATACGAGATTTCTTCACAAAGGAAAGTGAAATGCTGTCTGATAATTTGAAAATAGAGGCCTTCCGCTACAAGTTTTACTGCAGAAAAAAAAATTTCAAAAAAAAAATTCTTTCACTAGATGCTTTTTAAAGACTGACTAATTGTATTGATACTGATCAAATACACGATCCAAAACAAACACGTAAAGAGAAAGAGCAATAAGCAAAAGATTGTTGACAAAGAAAATACATCAAAAAGAAGTAAAATAACTAATGTTGTAAAACTAACTAGGTGACGGAAAAAAGTAAAACTGATTGCCCAATTCTGAATTTTCTTCAATAAAATAAGTGAAAAGAAAAAATTATACGTATCATCGACACAACAAAATTTTTTTCCTATTCAGTTTTTCACTCTTCTCGCTGTAAAAAGTTCTGTTTATAAAACCCCAATTAACAATTGAATAAATCATTATAAAAAAATTAAAACGGAAAACCAAGTCTATGAAGGAATGTGAAAACAAACCAATATCATCCATGCTTAAATCACCAAATGTGCGTCGACTTCCGACTGATGTAAAACTTTGCTCCAGATATGACGACCGGTTAACGAATGCACAGACTAAAATCAACAAATTAGTTATTAGTTGCAAACGATTCATCCTATACACACCTGTAAAAATAAACCTTAAAAAGACAAAAATTATAAGGAAAAAAAACCGAAAAAGAAAAAGGAAAAAACAACCAATGTCAAGTGAAAAAGAGTAGAAATGTGCAATCACCAGTGTACTCTTTAACATTCATTACATTAATAAAGCAATAATGTGTAGAGAAGCAAATAAGCGCAAGAACAAAGGAAGAAAAACCAAGTATTTAAGAGAAAAATCTGAAGGCATATTTTAAAAGTGCATCAAGAAACAGCCACAACATTTAAGCAATAATAGTAGTAGATGTAACATGGCAATGATAAACAGTAACAGTAACAACTACGATGCAAAAAAGAAAGATCGTAGTTAAGAATAATAGTAACAACATAAGGATGAAGAGGAAGAAGAAAAGGAAGTAAATTGAAAAATCAAATAAAATTTAGCCAAAAGGTCATGTGTTTGACAACAAAAACTGCTTGTTATTTACCTTCCCACCCAACACACAGACACAGACAAATAAAGGACTGTACGGTGAAAAGACAGTACGATCAGAACCGCTAAAGCTGTACAGTCGTAGTAATAAACAATGATAGCAAAAAGAGGTGAAACAAAAAGAAAAAAAATCAGGCTACTTTTTTCCTCACTTACGAATTAATGGGGACCCGTTAACAACGACGGCAATGATAATGAAAGGTGCTGGTGGTGGTGGTGGTGGTAACGACGGTGGATGCAGTACTTGCGATGATGATAGTGATGACGGCGGTATTGGTGATGATGACAACCACGATGGTTATAGTTGTCGTAGACGATCGGAGACATTCAGTGTACAACAAATTAAGAAACGACTTCAGTACTGCCACAATTACCAATGCTGCTGCTGCTGCTGCTACTGCCATCGTCCACAGCCGCCTCCATTTCTGTTACTGCCGATCTAATTTGCCTCCACTTGCCTTTATCATGCATATGTATTTACGTAACTACCATCGTCAACGTCAGCGTTCATGTTTCCATCAACGTTAAACGTTCAAGTTGACGTCGTTATAGACGATCTTCCTTCACAGGATAGACTATGACACGGTGTGAACATACTCACGCAAACAGAACCACATACACACGTTCATACAAACATAAACTCACGAAAACAAAAGAACTATAGGAAGAAGAAAAAGAAGAGAAAAAAAGTTATTGTCATCATCATTTTCTCAATTAGACTATAATCTTGATTAACAAAAGAAGAAAAAAAAAAAGGGAAAAACTGAACAAACCAAACTAAACATTAGTACTATAAAAAAAAATGCTCCGTTAAATTAGGTTGCTGCCAGGAAGAAAAGAAACAAACAAAGTGCTGCCGTTGTTGTTATTTTGTTTAAATGTTTATGTGTCTGACTTGCTGAAGTATATCGGTGTTGTGCCCCTGTTTGTCTGTCTATCTGTCGCTGTATGTGTATTATTTGTTTGAGTGATCAAACGAGGGGACAGAAGACGGGGACCGTAGTGCAGTGGAATGGCAGATGGAATCAGTCTAAGTCGGTTGGTTGTTTGCAGCAAAAATAACTTCGCTTCATTAGTTGCCTCCGTTTCAGCTGTTTACCTCTCTGACCAAACAAATACTATCCTCGTATTTTCGTAATTCATCGAGCATTCTTCCCCTATAATATTATTTACGCTCTGTCATCTATGCCTTACAGGTATAAACACTATTTTGTTTCAACCAGTTAATTTCTCTACTCTATGCCCTTTTTGTATTATATTTTTTGGTTTGATCAATGAAAACATTCTACGAAACTCTGAACAAAACAGAAAAAAATAAAGAATAAAACAGCAACAAAAACAACAACAACGGCAGCAATATTTTGTCATCTGATGAGTGCCAGTAGCCGTTTTTTTTTTGTTAGACTTGAATTATTAAGCGTTGTTAATTTGCAGCTGCCGAAAAAAAAAGTTTCAATAGTTTCAAAAAAAAGGAATGGAAGAAACAGATCGAACAAAATTAGGAGCTGCAAAAATCTGAATACTGATATACTTTGGCAAAAAAAACTTATATGTTGGACACATATAAGGGTTACATTAGTGTATGTGTAAATGACAAAACTGTTCATCAACATTTACTTCTTTCCCCCCTTTTCTCCTTCATATGAATTGGAAAGGGGGTTACGGAGAGACTGTGTCTTTTTATCTTTGATTCGACTTCTTATTGTAACAGTTAACACTGAAATCAGAAGTGCGGCTTTGACTAAAAGAAAATTTTGCTGGCGCACTGTAGGGTTAAAAATTTTGCTTACGTGTTTTAATACTGTATACTTAAGCAACAACAACAGCATTAATGCTGTATGCTGTTGCTTAACACCAATGAACCTTTGCTGCTCAACGATGCTCTCCACTGGGCTGGCCTGATTAACCGACTAACCGGCTAACTGACTGACTGACTGACTGACTAACTCACTGACTGAATCACTATTCAGAGACGTTTGCATAAACAGTCTGGAAAGATAAGAATGAACAAAAATGATGGAATGCTGATAAGTCTCGAATACAAAAATCTCTGTAAAGGCGTAGACATATGAGTACCGTAGAAAATAATACTGTGAAAGCAAAGAGGAAAAAAGTTTTTTCAAAACAATACGAATAAAAATTATACCATTGTTATCTAATTTTTCTTGTTTTTTAGCAACTGCTATATTATTGAGAATCACAAAGCAATACGAAAAACAGGCAAAAAAAGAAAAAGAATGCACTAAAAAGTGATTCTGTCATCAAAGTGGTTAATGGAGTCCATTGAAGACCAACTGCTTTCAGGCTGCTGTTAGGCAATAAAGATGAGAAGTCAAAAAAAAAGATGCTCTTTTAATTCTAATCAATAAAAAAAATAATTTTTTTTCTTTATTATTATTATTAATATTATTAATATTATCAGTATTATTATTACTGTTACTATTATTATTATTACTATTATTATCATTATTATTATTATT